CCTGGTCATATTTGTTTTGTGGTTTATAAGCCTCCTCTGTCTGGATACCTAAGTCTTTTCCAAGAGTTGAAAAGTTTCCTATTGTATTACTAAATAGGTTTTCTGTGCTCTTAACCTTTGCACCCTTGTGTTTGAGTACTCTAAAGATGAAGATATTTGTTTGTTTAATACTATCTCATCACTGTGATCAAATACCCAAAAAGAAGTAAGGAGAGCTTATTTTGGTTTACAGTTTGAGATTATACAGTCCATCCTAGTGGGGAGGTTATAGTGGCAAGAACACAAGATGACTGATCACATCCCATGTCTAGTTAGGAAGCACAGAGAGAACAGGAAATAAGGCTGGGATATAAATGCATAAGGTACACCTCCCATCAATGACCCCCTTCCTCCAGCAAGGCCCTACCTCCTAAAAGTTCTACAACTTGCCCAAACAGTACTAGTAGCTGAGGTCCATGTGTTCAACATAGGAGCCTATTGGGGACATTTTATATTCAGACTACAACAGTGTCCCAAAGATTTTTGATGCATACTTCCTCTTTTAAATTCCTTCTCTCTTTCTTCCTCTGTTCTTCTCTCTCTTCCTTTCATCTTTTCTAGTTTCAGAAGATCCAGAATTTTTCCCCGTATGGTTTGTGTGTGTACGCACACATGTCTGTGCCTGTGCATATGTATGCATGCATGTGTACCACAGCATGTGAGTGGAGGTGAGAGGATGCTTTTGGGAGTCAGATCTCTATCATGTGGATTTTGAGGATTAAACTCTGTGTTGTCAGGCTTGGCATTGAGTGCCCATTACCTGTTGAGCCATTCCTCCAGCCCAGAGACCTGTTCTCTAGTTCATAAAGTCTTTCCTCTATTTGATTAGTCTTTTGTTGAGGCTCTTACCTAGATCTTAAATCTGACTGTTGAAACATCCTTTTTTCAATATTTCTAACTGGTTGTTTCCGAACTCCATTTAGGGTTAATTTCTCATATTGTACCATATTGTCTTCCAAGTTTCCTTTATCTATATTCTCTTGGATCTCATTAAGCTTTTGAATAACTGTATTAAATTCTTCACCAGGCACTTTATTTGGGTTTATATTGACTCCATTATGAGAATTGCCATTGGTGGTATATGTTATCATTTCTATTTTCCTTCCTAATTCTTATGTTTCTAACCTGAGATTTGTATTTCCCGTGAATCAGGCATCTCTAACATTTTTATGTGTTGGGCTTTTCAGAAAGTGACTTTGTCTTGAAGGCATATTTTGACATGTTAGCTCGGTGATGGTGGCTTTTGAATTTTAGCTAGGCATTGTAATCCAGCTGTCCAATTACTATTGTGGCTGTCAGTAGCATGTCAAAGAGAGAGAGAAGTCCACTGTCTCTGTGGGCTATAAAACATTGGGGGCACTCTTAATGATCCATTTGTGTGTGCCATGGACAGCAGTAGAGGCGCTCATTTTATAGCCTGAGTCACCTGATGTAGGATCTTCAGGTGCTAATCATTTTGGCTGTTACTGGGGTGGGTTTCTGGCGGTGCCAACATTGGTTTAATGTGTAAAGCTAGAAAGTGGAATGGGCTCAGATATGCTTCACAGGGAACAGCGGTGAACACTGAGCATGCTCATCCAGCAGGCAGAGCATGCTCAGATGAGTCGTGGTTGGGGAAGCTGTAAGTAGTCTGGTAGCAGGAATTGTACTCTTCTCTGTTGCAACTATGCTAGAAACCATCTAAGAGGACTCTGTCCCTCTCTGCCATGCACACAACAACAGCATACTGCCTGGGTGTGGATGGAAGCAGCACACAGTCAACGTCGGGCAAAGATTCTCAAGGTCGTCTTTTAAAGTGTGCATCCAGGGCCAGCAATAGTTTCAGAGCCATACCCTTGCTTAAGGCCCCCTAAAATTCCTAATGCCAAGTGGGAGCATAGCACTGATGCTCCTCCTCTCACTGTGCCAACAGCATTTGTGCATGGTGCAGGAGACAGAGAATCTGGAAGGATATGAACCCCTGTCTTAGACATCATGGCAGGGAGCATGGTGGCACACAGGTAGCCATGGTGCTGGAGAGGAGCTGCGAGTTCTACATCTGGGCCAGAAGGCAGCAGGAAGAGAAACTGGGTCTGGCTTGAGCATTTGAAAGACCACTTTCCTTCAAAAAAGGCCACACCTATTACACTAAGGCCACGTCTCCTAAGAGTGCCACTCCCTAGTGACCAAGAATTGAAATCTGTAAGCCTGTAGGGCCATTCCTATTCAAACTACCACATTCCACTCCTAGTTCCACTCCCCATTAGCAGCTTTCTTTAGCATGTATCTCATGAGTCTGGCATCTCTAACATCTTGGGGTCCCCAAGACAATCCAGACTTCATCTTCAGAACTTCACACAATGGCCCTTCCAGGTAGGGATGTCCCTGACACAAGCCTGGCCATTAAAATCCCTTTTTTGTATCCTTGACTCTAAAGCCAGAACCATGTGGCTAAAGTTAATAAATTCTGCTGCTTTCTGGGGCTGGAACATACCTTCCCTAGTTCAGATACATTTTCACAAACTTTTTGTTATTGATGATTTCCTTTACTGGCTAAGCTTGTTGTCCTGGCACTCAATCTATAGACCAGGTTGGTTTTGAACTCAGGAATCACATGCTTCTACCTCTTTCAAATGCTGGTATTAAAGTGTGCACCAGTATATCTGGTGCTAGACTTTTCTGTTAACTGATTTTCACAAGTTGGAAGGTTACTGGGTAGGGTCTTGCCCAGAATCACAACCCCCTTTTAATCATTTAGCATCAGCTTTAGACTTTTTATCTCTTTGAGTACTGGACTAGATTGCATTACCATTCTAGGTGCTCATTTTCTCCTCAAACAGTACATTTTGTATTTTCCTTGCTTGGCTTTCTCCTTCTCATGATAGATCTGCATAAGACTGGCCACTAATAACCAAATAACACGGTCAATACTAACTAGGTTGTGTGTAATTCTCCTCTCCTAAAGCTATTGATCCGTAACGCTTCAATTTAGTCACAGGCAGATTTTTTTTTTTGAACAAGGGGAAAAAGCAGCTACATTCCATATTTTTCTCCAAAATATCCCAAGAATGGTCTGTAGGCTACACACTAACATTCCTCTCCTCTGAAACCTCCTGACCTGGGCCACCACAGTTCAAATCATTCTCAGTCCACTGTCTTCAAAGTCTCTACTTGTATGACCCATTATACCCTACTTAAAGCATTCAATTGCTTTCTTAATCCTCAATCCCCGAAGCCTACATCCCTCCAAACAAAACCATAGTCTGGACTATCACAGCAAGACCTCAGTCCCTTGTATTCTGTCTTACTTAGGGTTTCCATTACTGTGAGTAGACATCATGACCATTGAAACTTTTTTTTTTTATGAGACAGGGTTTCTCTGTATTGTTTTGGAGGCTGTCGGTCCAGCCCGGCCTCGAACTCACAGAGATCCACCTGCCTCTGCCTCCCGAGTGCTGGGATTAAAGGCGTGCACCACCACCGCCTGGCTTGGAAACTCTTATAAAGGAAATCATTTAATGGAGGCTGGCCTGCAGGTGCAGAGGTTTAGTTCATTATTGTCGTGGGGGTTGGGGGAGCCTGGTGGAGTAAAGGCAGACATGGTAGTTCCTGTAGGGTTTACATAGTAGCTGCCCACACAGCCACCACCCACCAGAGCAGAATGTGGGTGGGGTTTTTACATGGGAAGTTGGAAGGATGGATGCCTTCGTTCTGCTAGAGTAACCACATTGTTATGATGACTCCTGGGTTTCTGGGAGATCATGTGAGACGGTTTTCCAAAGCCTGGCTATTGTGGAAGTTTTAGGCTACTAATCTAAAGGACTGCCAGTCTGTGAGTATTGGTGTGAAGGAGCTTGGAGGACTCCTGCTTTCAGCTTCACCCTCTTTGCTCCCCTGCACAGGGGAGACTTCCTCCTCCTCTGCTCTGGAGGCAAGACAGTAGATGACAGAAAACTTGATTCATACTGCGATGCGGCCTTAGGTCTCTTAATCTTCCAGGGTTCCCTGTGTGACTCTTGCTCATTTTCAGTTCCGTCCATGGCCACCCACCTGAAAATGTGGCTACCCAGCTGTTAATGTGGTTCTTCTTTGTGGAGGATGTGGGTGATGCACACCTGTATTTAGGAATTCTGAAGTCTCCTAAAGTTACTTATCTGTTACTCATTTGAAGAGCTATTCATTTTTCTAAATTATCTAATGTTTTTTTTGCTATTATTTTAAAATGTATGCCATCAACTCAACTGTTATTTACATTAGGGTGAGTTAAAAATCTGTTTTCTTATTGTGGGAAGTCAATTATACCAGGACATTTTATTTGGCAAACCACAAAGAATAGGTTTTCCCACAAGTAAAGGCCATCTCTGTTATATATGTAATGAAATAAATTTTACAACTAGCACTAAAATTTATAATGTGGATAAAAATATTATTTTACAATTATGAACACATATCCACCCACATTCCCATAATTAAACCAAAGTTTCTTTAATACATGCCATGGGCTATAAAATTAACCAATTAACAAATTTCTGATAAAAATAAAATCTTCTCTCCTAATATCTTCTAACCCCCAGTTGGCTGTGACCCTACCCTCACTTAGGAGAAGAATAAATGTATCAATTATCTGTGATTTTGTTAACAGCCCACTGCAGCAACAGGGAATATAAAATACTGCGTTAAATTCTAAAGTTTTGAACCAGAAAATGAATATTCCCTTCCTTAAGGTTCAGATGTCTTTTATTTAATGACAGAAGGAGAGAGACTAAGAGACTAGTTAGCTGTGTTTGATAATATAACACCCGTTCAAAAATCAACCCATAAACCCCCAAGCTCCAGAGTGGTGGTAACTTGGCCCATCTCATCATGTCTTAGGCTTTTTCAAAATAGCAATTCGCTGGAAATGCTGCTTCTGTAGGTTTGGCACGAAGTGATACTGGTAGATTCGGGGAGGTAAGAGGGAGAGGGAATCACAGAAACTCAGATTTACAGTATTCATCTTTTATTTTTATATATTTATATTAAGATATTGTACAGTTTTTAAAGCTAATAACAGAACCCCTTTGCATGTGTATTTAAAGCATAACAAAATAAAAAGTATTTCACAAAAGAAGTTCATATTACAGTACTATGGAAATAGGAGGCAAAGAGTATGAGCATTTGTGGGTTATGAACAATACATTCAATTTAAAGAATAAACATTTCATGTGAATAACAGCATCTCGGTTACAATAAATACAGGAAAAGTTAAGAGCAACACCTGAAGTATATGGATACAGGAAAGGTGTTTTTTGTAATGGACACTCTAAAGAACAGTAGAGCACTTGTGCCTTGGTAGCATCTCACCAAATTTACAATCATTGCACACTGTTGAGCACTGAAGATGGGGTGCCCTTCATTCACCCACACCTCAGCATACCAACCAAAGTTACCTCCCACTCTCCCTTGGGTAACCGGTACCAATGTTTAATAGGGTTTAGAATCAGCCGTACCTTTATTTTTACCTGTTACTCAAATCAATTCCAATATTTAACTTAATATAAATTCTACTCATAAACAGAAAGGGTATTTTTAAATAGGTGATTAAGATTATAACTTCTAAAAATTGTGTAACTTTGCAAATATCCCACTGAATTTGGTTTTACAGAGTGGTTTCTTTGGGTGGAATATGAATACTTGGATTAAAAAAAAGAAAGTTTCCTCTTGTAAAAAATTATAATGGGCATCCCTGACCGTTAGACTCACTAGCTTTTTTGGGGGGGCAAATTCATAAAGCAAAGTCACTACAAGAGGTTGAGCCAATGAAGTTCCAAACTTGCATTTTTGAAAGACTAAGAAAACAACTGTTGTAAGTAGGGACGTCTCATCTCACTCAACCCTGTGACATCACAATGGGCAAACACAAATGGACAACAGAAGTAGCTCTCCTCACACTTCTGGGGCTACTTCTATCAAAGCCCAGCGTAAATGCTACGAGCCACTACGATCTACTTCATGACAAAGACCATTCAGGTTTCCTTTGTCAAACTCAAGCTGAAATTACCCTTAAGATAGCATCCATAGCCAATTAAAAGGAGAAAACAGACGTTATTTACTTGAAAGTAACTACAGGAACAATACTATGTGAGAAAACAAGACTAGGAGCTCTGCCAAAGTATGTGCTCCCTGAACAAAGGCTGCCATGGTGTCAGGTTAGCCCTTACCACTCGGATTCTGTGAGGAAACTGGTCTAAGATGAAGACATCCAGGGAAACATGCCTCCACAGCAGGGTTTCCTAACCTCTCCAACAGGGTTTCCTAAACAACTCTCTATTTCCTTAACTAAAAGAAGCTTCACCATGTCTGTCAAGTTTGTGCGCAAACACAGCAGTTTGCTCCAAAGCATCTCCACTGAAATGTTACTCTCATAACAGTTCTGCCTGCAGCAAGGGCCAGTCTTCATGTCCTTAAACATAGTTTAGAATTGTATCTTTGTTGGCGAATGACTCAGAACTATCGACATGCATAGGCACAATGTAACATAACACACATCTTTCTTCCTAGTAAGATAAAAACGCATGCACACAGAGTGGCCCAAAAGTTAAAAAAAAAAGTTTCATTCTAAGAAAAGTGAGTGTTGGCATATCAAATATCTTTTAAAAAGGGAATTAATTATGTTCTCAGAAAACTTGAAACATTAATGAATAAAATGCACACACAATATAAATAACTTGAAGAATAAAAAAATTCTGAAGGGGATTGATCAAAACTTCAATACAATCTATGAATAAGAACATACGTTTACATTACAGTGTACAGTCTGAGTTAAATGTATTTAGATTTATAAAGAAATTGAATTATAGTTACTGCATGATTATTCCAAGAATATTGTTCAAATGTACAATAAAAACACACAAAGCCTTGGGCAATGTGCAACTTTAAAAATGACTATCACACCAGCCAAACAAATCCTTAACCACTTTTAAAATGGACTCATTTATACCATTTAAATGCAAAGAGACTTTCAAAGGTATGAAAACACAAATCTCAGTGTCTGACTCACATTTCATCCCCTGCCTGTTCACATTTAATAGTTGCATTTTGAATGTATAAACTAAGAATTTTAAATGTGTCTCAAATAGTTTGTCTGCATTTATCATAGGAGTTATTTTTGAAAACTAAGAGCTAAAGCACATACTTCAAACCACTCCCCCCAAAATGCGTAAGTTCACAATTGTGTCCACTGCAATGTCCATATGTGACTGAAAAACAAATGCTCAGGTCTTCCTCAGGTTCTGCATCTCTCCTGATGTGTGCCAACATGTTTCTTCACTATTTGGCACTGACAATCTATGAACACAACTTATCAGCAGAAAACGCCCAACAACGATGCTCACACCTTAAGCCATGAAAGACTCTAGTTATACATGCACTGATAATGAAATGTGAGCAAGCCCAAGTCATTGCGGATTTTTGAGGAGATTGAGCCTGATAGAAAATGAAGATTATATGAAAACTGGTTAAGGATTCAAAGCACATTAACTCTGACATATTAATCTTAACACCCAGACAAACACAGGGAGGTATGATTTGCACAAAAATACTTTTAAGTTATTTTGGTTGCCTTCTTCATGATCTTGCATTTTAGCTGCTTGCAGTACATGCATGCATCCTCTTTGCTACGTCATAAACGTAGGTGATGTCTGGTCGCTTCTCCGGGTCTGGGTTGATGCATATATTAACTAACTGTCGTAGCTGAAGAGACAAAACAAAACTTATAATCAGCCTTCTTAATTTTGAACAAAGCAGTTCTGAATAGTTAGCTACAAGGCTTCCAGTTAACTGTAGATATGTGTACATGTACCTGACCTAGAATTTAGTGCATTAGTTTTGGCAAGTTTACGTTTGCATAAATGGAGATGAAGAGTACATGTCTGTCACATACATTTATCAGGAATTATTTTGCATGAACAAATATATACTTTAGCAGTCTTAGTTTTTTTCTTCTTTATAAACTGTCTTTTACATAAACAGTCAGCAAGATAAAGCATAAATATTACTTCAACCCTTAACTGTGTGAAGTAGTATTTAAATGTTCCCACTTTATAAAGGAGAAGAGTTGAGATCTGTCTATATACCAGGGAAATAAAATCCCATTGGTTAAGATACCTTCCTTTCCAGATTCATTAATTAAAATATCGGGTTTTGTTCAATTCCAATAACCGTTGTTTGGCAAATTCTTACTTACAACAGCACATAGCATCTTCAAACTCAGATCTTTGTGCCCTATACCTTTTGTTGTTAGGAGTAATTTAGACATTTTAAAAACTTCCTGGCGTGCACATCAGCTTAGCACTTAGTGAGTTATTAAATGTTTGCATTTCTTCATGTCCTTCATTGAAGAGATACTGATATGCTCTATGGGCTTAACTTGTGGGTTCTGTTAAGAGAAGGCTAAAGCTAAGGAAATGTTATGTGAGGAGGCTGAGTGGGCAAGAGTTGGCAGCATGGGGTCGGGTATGGTGAAGGGGGCAAGGGAGGCTGGTGGCAAGCAGTCTTGCTGAGGGAACCTTACAGCCCTGTACCCTTTTCTCTGCAACTTTATTTCTCTACCGATTAGTGAAACTAGAGCTGACCCTCAGGAATGCGGTCCCATTCCTAACTCCTTAATTAACAATGCTATCAGAATACAATATAGTGATTCAGTGCCAGCCATATTTGGAAATCATAATGTTGGATGTGGAATTTGTTATATCTGCTGAGAAGGCATGACAACATCAACTTCTATCCTTTCAAAAGAACATGGGATGATACTGAAAGTGCTTAAAGAATTTGGCAAAATACAAGACATTTTCTTATGTTGATTAAAATGAAGGCTGGCATTTTACCAGTTAAAGACAAATGCACCCAGTTCTGCACAATGCAGAAACCTTAGGAAAAGCCCTTAGATGATGATTCTTATGTTAAAAAAGACAGCGTGTCCTACAAGGTCACCAAGCTGTCAAGAAGCAAGAATGAGAAAGGAAACAGAAAAGTGACAGGAAATGGTAACTAGGTTACAAAAACTCATCATATTCAACCAAAATATCAGTGGGCAGAATAACAATTTGCTTTTTAACACTGCTACACTGAACAAGCCAGTTCAGAAACCACCTGTCTCACAGGGAACTTCAGGACAGGATGCACTCTGTAGCCAATTAACAACAAAGGGCCGAGAATCACCCAAAATTAGAGGAAGGCCTGAACACAAGCAGAGCTGAAGACGACAGAGTTTCCAAAGGAGCAAGGACTAGTAACAAGGAGAAACAGGTGGGGACAGCTGAGCAGCACACTGTCCAGATGACAGTCGTACAGGGACAGCCTAGGACTCCAGAGGCCACCGTAGATGGAGACAATGCAGAATAATAAGCTTGCTTTTCCCTCCCCCTTTATATGTTCAATGTCCACCAATTAAGAAAATTGTCATAAAGTTTTCTTTGCCATTAGAATCACTGAGAATTATCACTGTCAGATATATAAAATATGGAATACTGAGGCCTCAACATACAAATGCTATTAAAACATATTTTGCATTTTTGTTTGAGTTAACATAGTCAGTCTTCCTAACAGTGCCACAGGACTACTACCAATGCGGTGTCATTTTATAAAGCAGCAACGGTCCAAGATCATAAAGGCGTAAGAAGGCATGATGCAGATTGGGACTTAGATGCTCTCATTTCAGGCACAGGCTTTGCAGAACTATGCTACTATCATAGAAAAACCCTGACTTGGTCTACAGGTTTCTCCATAGCCACAAGAGTGGGATGGTTTTTCAAACAGTGAAGGGCAGGCTGTCAGCCATTGCTTCTCAAAAGACTGCTAGCAAGAACGGCACTTACAAGGTGGTGTTTCATCACAGCAATAGGAACCCTAGGGCCACAAACAAGCTGGGGAGGAAAGGGTTTATGTGGCTAACACTTCCACATTGTGGTCCATCGCTGACCAGGATCTAAAAACAGGGTAGGGACCTGGAGAAAGGAGCAGATGCAGAGGCCATGGAGAAGTCTTGCCTATTGGTTTCCTCTTAATGGCTTGCTCAACCTTCCTTATAGAACCCAGGACTCAGGAATGGCCCCCACCACAATAGGCTGGGCCCTCCCCCATCAATCAATAATTAAGAAAGTGCCATATAGCTGGATCTTAAGGAGGCATTTTCTCAATTGAGGTTCCCTCCTTTCTGATAACTCTAGTTCATATCAAGTTGATATAAAACTAGGCAGCATAAGGAGGCTCTAACATTAATGGTTCTACAGTCACAGTTCACAGGACAATATGGATCAAAACATAAACCAATCCATTTTTTTCTAGGATTTTGTAGGAAGGCATGAGAAAAAAACTTTATCCTGAAGATACTCTTAAGTGTTGGCTCAGACATGTTCAGATGAATATTATGACCTAGCATGACAGTTTTAATTTTAATTCCACTGTTATTTTATAAACAATCCATCCATGAAGCTGGAAGTAACTCCCTCCAAACAGAAGGTACTTGGATTTCAACTTGAACCAATCTCATAATTAGATTATAAATTTAAACACAGTGAGTGAGCTGGAGAGTACTTGCCTAAGAGGCATAAGACCTTTGATTCTCAGTACTGGGGAAAACTGGGTTGAGACCCTCATATAAGGGCTTCAATTAAAAAATAAGTCTCCAGTGAAAGGGGTATGGGAGTCCTTATATAATGTCCTCATAAAAATAAGAAGCAACACTAAATAAAATCAGACATTAAAGAGCTGAATAAGATGACTGCATTCAAGACCTCAGTCAATGTTAGTTTTGTATATGTGTGTATGGTTTTTAAGAAAAGTGTTCCCTACATGGTTTTGGCTGTCCACTAGCTTGCAGGAATTTTCCTACTTCTGCCACCTGAGTGGGGGGATTAAAGGCATGCTCCCTTAGCACTATCTTTTGAAAATATTTCTCTAGCCCTCTGGAAGAAAGTACGTTATTTTGAAATTCTTTGTGACAACTATCCAATACTTTGCAATGACAGTAACTATTACATTTTTAACCATGTTAAAGGAAAATGTCAAGATAATAAAGTCAGGATTGCTATCTCTAGTCTAAGACCACTAGGTATTTGTTTGCTTAATAATGTGCTCGTTAAATGAAGAGCTATGCAAATATCACTTAACAGCTTCTGAATAACAACTGGCAACAGCAAGGACAGATAATGTAAGCCAGATGACACTCTTTATCACAGAACGCTTACTTCATATGCCTTCTATCTTTTTAAAAAGACTTGTATGTTATTGCTTTTAATATAATATGCCAAAAAGGTGTGTCCACTTAAGAGCCTTTACAAGCTAGAGAAAACTGCTTAATTCATGTGCTTCCGAGATATTAAAGCCACACAGAAACATCTAAATGACTAAAAGCTAATAAAGTGATTCGATATAATATTTATAAAGAGTTGTAAAGGTAATTTAGTTTTCAAATTCAGTGGACAAACCATTAATATATTTTGATCTATGTATTTCCAAAGAAATATCAAAGCATGCAGCCTAAAACCAAAAATATTAAACAGAGTGTCAAGAGTCATTGTTCTCAGGGTGCTAACCCAATTACAGTTCAAGTTCAGCCACGCAGGGGCAATAACAGCCAGCTCTTTGTGCATTATAGCTTTAGGTCACCACCACTATTCTCAATAGGATAATAAAGACTAATTCTATTGGTACTGCTTCTTTATCAGCCCTATCTTAATCCCTCTGAGACCAATTATGCTATATCAGCCTCCCAGATATGCCCAATTTCCATCTATCCAAGGACACATTTTAGCACCCCAATGTTGGTCCTAATACATTAAAGCCACTATATTTGGAGCTCTAGATACTTATACAAAATGATTAGACATATCCAGCATGGACACCAAAGTGTCACTGATGATAGACTTTAGGGGTAGAGGAAAAGGACAGCCATCTTACACAGATGTAATGTCTATGTTTTGCAATCAGAGATCATTCAGTGCCTTTAAAAACTGAATCTTACAGAAAGTTACATGGTTTTATAGGATCCCACAGGATAGGGGAAATAAAGGGCACCATTTTGGATCTGTGTTCACAGGAACAATTTTTCAAGTGTCACCACCTCTGTAGCTGGGTGCACAAAAGGCCTACCTAAATACACCTATATATTTAAACAAAAATGGAGTAACCAACACTTAAAGATGTACTCTTACACAGCAACCTTTAGTAAAGTGGCTGAATAGTACAGGGATGAGAATACGAAACTTATTAAAGCAACTTTTAAAAAGGAAAAGCAAATGCTCCCCGTTTCTGATATAACTGGGTAACAATTTAGATAAGTGCATCATGTGACATTCACATTCAACATCCATACTCTACAGTAATTATTTTTATCTCACTTGGAATCTGACTGACTAACTCTAAAGACAGTATAAACCCTTGAGCAATGCTCCTTAAACCAGTGTGTATGCCACATAGTATGAAGGCACTCATTTCGGCATCATTGTAAGGATGTGTTAGGAACAACTTCCCTGTGCCAATTTAAATGACTCTGGCTAATTTTCAGTAATGACCCAAAGGAATTCCTAAGTAAAATTTGATTCAAATTTCAGAATTAGAAACTAAAGATAAATAAATGTTTTTCTTACCAAAATGTTCTATATTATTTATAAACTTCCATTAACTTCAAAAAGTCTAGAAACAGCCTACCTGACACTTTCATCTTTTTTTCTTATTTACATAAAAAGCAAGTC